AAAATGACAGTAAAGAAACGAGTAATAATATAGATCGACGCTGTCATGCACGTACAACAGGTGACGCTGTGAGCAGTAACCTAAAATTGATTTGTGGTTGTTCAAACATGAGGTCTATCTGACACTCTGCAGCATCACAATCGCATCACATTCACGTTAGCGGGTTCTAGTTGTTATCCTACTCCTGTAGATGGGCTCTCAGTGTATTCAGCATTGCAAAAATACCCTCAGATTACACCTGCTGTACAGTATAATGACCTTGTAAATTGTAATAAAATACAGACAAGCAGGTAGATCAAGTGGCCGTGCTGTTCTATCGAGGGCAGAACGGACAAAGTACATCACGAAGAGAGAGCAGAAGAAAGCCTTCCTTTTTTGCCGTCTTCTTTCCGTTCCAGCTATCGTCTACTCAGGATTCAGATCGAAAGGATCAATAATGTTCCACATATCATTCTATCGTACATGAATATATGATGTGTACCATAGAGTAGCGACGGCGGGAGAGATGGATACTAGTAATATCAATTAGAGAAGCATCAGAACACAAGACTCTTACAAAAACGTGACATGATCAAAGAGTGGCCATGTCTGCACCCTGCAGAACAAGGCGAATGACTACAAAAGAACTCTGTCCGACATATGGAGAAAAAGGGAAGATTACAGGTGACCCTGGAGATATGAACAAACATTTGGACGATTCAGAATTCAAGCCCGTGCTCTCTAGCAGAATCAGCAAGAGCTTTTATGCGGCCATGGTAGAGGAAACCACCTCGATCGAAGACAACTTTGCTGATCCCTTTCTCCAAGCAAGACTTGGCAATCACCTCACCAATCTTTTGTGCTATTTCCTGGAAGCCAATATCAAATTTCTGTCAGAAACAAATCATAGCCTATCTGCGAGAGCATGTCTCATCTTGTCATGTTGAATCATGTATAAGCAAAATTCAAACACCAATGCAATACCATTGGAGATAAAAATCAACGGAGTCATCATAAAAATGATTGCACAACTTCAAATTGCTTTGTGTTTTTTATATGTAGAATCATCTGAAGAAAACACAGTGTATGGTTCCCTGAGATTGTTCAAGTTCCAGTAACCAGACTACTTACAAGCCAGTGTGATCTAACTAGAAAAACATGCTGTCCTAAAACCTCATTGATTTTTCAGAAAGGGAGTTTTCAACCTAGACTTAACTGTGTTGATTAAGTTGGCCATGGCTATTTTATGTATATATAAGCAAATATTGAAGTACCACAAATGACTGATGAAAGAATGGGTTTATAAATCGTGAATATATTAAAGGCTGCATTATCTGTTCATCTTCTCTACTCTGGTAGCCTGTTTTACTTTTCACTGCAACCAGGGCTTGTTCAATGACCAGAGACATAAGACCGTGCCTATTCTTGTGAAGAAACAGCGATGCATGCATATATGTAGTGATTACACATCTAGTACAGATAACTGGCGTGTTTAAAGTAGGAATACCTCAAATCAAACTATGTAATCTGAAATCCCAATGATAATTCAGTACCCAAACAGAGTGTATACATTTGATTGGGTCATAGATAATTAATCACATTGAAGTTTCCAATGATGCTACAAATGGAAAGCATATGCATTTAAACAAGGAACCAGTAAACTCTCTACAAGTGGTTGATGTGATTTGCATGCGCTCTTATTCGTTACTAGGCAGGTCTCTACGTTCGAGTGGACAAAGAAGGGCTTTTGGAAGCAGTGAACATCATGTTTCAAATTGTGTCCAAGCTGCTAGCCAAATCAGAAACCAAAGGTGGCGATGAAGCAGCTGCAGGATGTTGTTCAAGATGACGAAGATCAGGGACCTGATAGATGTGCCTGAGAATGGTGTAGTGGTGGAGCTGCGTTTCTGTTATGTTCCTTTTGGATGAGTAGCCATGTGCACGTATCTGGGCTGTAAGGTGGAAGTGTGTAAACCTCAGTTATCTAGACTGTACCTCCTGCTCTACTATATCTGCTTAATCAGATAGGCATAGAGTTTAGGAAAACTGTCAGGGTCAGGTCTTTTTGTTCCTCATTCAGTTTCTGCTTTCTGAACTTTCTTACGAACTCCGTATTTCTGGTATCTGAGTAATTGAAATGGGGAATGCCTCGATTCGGAAAAAACAGTAAACTCTCTGTTACGTTCAAACTTAAGCTTTCTAATAAAGCAGGGTTGGGCCTATGATCTAAACTCTCTGTTACTGTTTTACTGTCTTTGGAATGATAATGACACTTCAACGAAGATCAGGGTTTCTCAAGCAAAATAGAAGGAACTGATAACTTACAATCGTTGGTCCAGCCGAGTATTCCAATTCCTCGGAGAGAGATTTGTGCATGGTTGAAGCTGAAGCCAAAGTGCATTGCTTTGTGTCGTCGATGACTTGAGCGTACAAATGCTTGTTTGAGCGGAAAACACTCAACCTCGGCCTCTCTGTGGTGCCACTTACCTGGAAAGGAGTATGTAAGACTGACAACTGCGATAAAACTCGTGAAACTAGAAGCAAGTAGCAGTAAAACCCGTAGTTACATTCAATTCGTGAGCTCTATAGCCGATAGATTCTTAGGCTACCACTCCAAGAGAAGCATTTCGTCGAACAGGACGGAAGCACGGCCTTGGCCCGCACCCACCACTCGTGCAGTCGAATGCAGAGTGAAAATGTCCTCGCTAGAATTCGTGCACATTGATTGATGTCCACATTCGTACGAAGGAAGGAGGAGAAAGATTCTAACTTGGCTCCCGCGCAGATTTCTAGTACCTTCTTGCGGAGGCGGACATGGCGGGCGATGCGGTCGTCCTGGGGCGTGGACACCTTGACCTTGGCGACGACGGACAGCGCCGCGCGACGGGCCGGCGCGGGGACGGAAGATAAGGGGGTGAGGAGGTTGCCGGACACGGACGCCGCGAATGAGTGGACGCCGGCGAGCGCCGGCGAGGCGAGCATGGCTCCCTTTGCGCCGCTGCTCTTCTCTTCGCTCTCCCTGCCTCCCGCACAACGGCGTCTCCGTTATGGCCTTATCCTATCCGCTGCACAGCGTTTAAATGCTTGATCAAATTACAACAAGGACCCTTCTATTTTACTTATTTCAGTATAGAACATCATTTCGCATAATTTATTTCATTGCAAATTTCAATACCTCTGAAACCAAACAAAATCAGTAGCATTTTAAACTTGTAATATATATAGTCCAGTTTACTAATAAAATTAATTAATATGACCAAAATTAGGCATAGGCCTGGGAAAATTAGGCCAGCCTTGGCAACCGAACAGCAACTGACGAAGCTCCCATTGTCGAAAGAATACAAGAATTAAAAGCAGCACTATATTTTCTTTTATAGAGGGCAATATATCGGAATATAAAGGGAATGCAAACTTCTGAAGTTTGGTAGAATTAGAGTACTGTCACTTTATTCTGAGGTACAATCATGGTACATAGAGAATGGTGCGCCAACAGTGCGAATATCTGCAGAATTACTGCATATGCTGTTCAGCAACTTTCAGTTCACACTGCTCTAAATGATACAGTTCCATTAATATTTGGAACTAATATAAGAGTGAAATCTCTTCATCAATGAAGCTAGGGTACACCTTCTGCATCCACTATCCAAACTCAAACTATAAGTCGTAGGTAGTCCACTCTCACGGTATTACAGAATGGATAACCCACAGGGTTACAGATTCAAGCAACCACCGCAGTTTCGACAGCAGTGGAAGCAAGAACATCAGACTCGCACCAATCCTGACCATCCCATATCTCGGGTAAACCTTCATGTTATGAATGCTCTCCAAAGCATGGTCAGCCCCTGGAACAAGTGTCGGTCTGCCAACCTGCAAAGTTCAGAAAGTTTTGTGTTCAAGTTTTCCCATTGGACATGAATGACGGTTAATGTGGAATTTTGGACCATGTGCAGTGTCTTACAATCACAGTATGGAAGCCTGCAGCCTTTCTATGTTCCGAGTGCTGTCGTCAAAAAAATATCTGAAAATAAACTCTTAGAATGTAAAATTTCCAACAGGGTCAGGCCTCAGGTTGTGATATGGCAAGGTACCATGAACAGTTGCATCAAACTCATCATTATCAAATTTCGTAGCCTAATGCCTGCAGAGAATAACGATCACACGATTAGAAAGGAGAAGAAAATATAGGACAAGTCATTGTAAAGATTACCTTAAGGCCAGCCATTGTGGTGCCATATTCCTTGTACAGGTCCAGGCACATATCTGCAATATGGCTTTCTTCAATATGCAAATGGTGCCGCATGTAATCTGGTGGCCAAATTTCAAAGTTGCAGTCTCTTCAACATTTGCAGACAATAGACACCTCATAAAGTATGAAGCCGTGGAAAACGATTCCTTGTATGTTTTTGCGACAAGCTAGATTGATGCCAGCGCTGAAGGGATACAAAGTGTCATCAAGATCTGAAAATGAAATAGAAAAAGAGACATCATTATTTGATTATACCATAAGATGAAGGAATAAACACAACAATTTCTCTGGAATTTTAAAAGAAGGGAACACACCAAACAGCAAGCACTTGTACTTCGGTCTTTCAAGAGACTCCATCCTCAACAGTCAAAAACTGCAAAAAGTTTTCACAAATTAAGTGAGACCAGTTTTCTGAATAGTTATTATTTGAGAGCTGAAAAAATGAAGAAAAATATACAGGATGCAAGTTTTGGATGTAACTCCATCAAATAACTCCTAAGTTAATCTTTTTCTGCCATTTAAAAAAGTTAATCTTTTTTCTGGATGAAACTCCTATGGGTTTATTTGAGCAAACAAGGCTTATTCATTATAGCGTAACTCCTCTTATAGATATTAAACACATCCACTAACTCCACTGCAGTTACATAAATAAAATCTTAGTAACAAGTAACCACATTTCCACCTATAAAAACCAGTTATTCCTCCCAATCCTAGACCAGCAACCCATTCCAATCCATTACCTCACAATAAACGACTATCACCAAACCGTGAAGAAATGGCCAAGCTCGCCAACCTCACAGCCCTCCTGCTCCTTGTTGTCATGGCCATGACCACCATCTCGTCCGTGCACAGCGCCCGCACTCTTGAGAGAGTGGATCAAGTGACCATCCTAGAGCCTTCGACGGTGGCGAAGCCCCCCTCGTCCACGTTGTTGGAAGTTGAGGCTCTGCTCCCTTGCGATGGCCTGTTTGAAGAAGCAGCAGACGGCCCCATCGCAGCCGGGTACCGTGCAACCGATTGCACTCGCAAGACACCGGTGCTAGGGCCCTAAGAAACAAGGCTTCTCATAGTTGGGTTGTCACGTGTAGTGAGCACCGGCAGCTAGCATTACTAAGTTTGTGCCAACCATGTAAACGATCTTCATCAAGGAACGATAAGCATGAATAATGGGATGTGATGCTGCTAAATTTACTTGTCATGGATACTGTTAGATTTAATGTGGGCATGACCCATATTTTATTTAATAATCAAATCAAATAAATCCTAATGCCATATTAGATGCTAGGTGCAATAAAATGGTGGACTGAATGTAGTTGATGGCTGAACTTGTAACGGTCATAGTTATGGCTGCGGTTACCAGTAACTCATGCTTATGGCAGCGGTTACTGGTGATTGATGGACGCTTCATGACGTCCAGGTTCATCCTCTACATTTCATCTTCTATCTTCCGCGCTTATAAGAAGGAAAGCTTGCCTTCAACAGCGCAGACGAGAGACAGTACACTGCACCATTGTGTTTTTTATATGTAGAATCATCTGAAGAAAACGCAGTGTATGGTTCCCTGAGATTGTTCAAGTTCCAGTGGCCAGACTATTTACAAGCCATTATGATCTTACTAGAAAAACATGCTGTCCTAAAAACTCACTGATTTTTCAGAAAGGGAGATTTGAACCTAGGACATGACTGTATTGATTAAGTTGGCCATGGCTGGTTTTGTATATATATAAGCAGATATTGAAGTGCCACAAATGACTGATGAAAGAGTGGATTTATCAATTGTGAATATATCAAAGGCTGCACTGTCTGTTCACCTTATCTACTCCGGTGCTCTGTTTTACTTTCACTGCAGCCACGGTTTGGCCAATGATCGGAGACATAAGACCGTGTCTATTCTTGTGAAGAAATCGGGAATGCATGCATATTTGTAGTGATTGCACAATCTAGTAGAAATAACTGGTGTGTTTAGAGTAGGAGTACCTCAAACTATGTAATCTGAAATCCCAACGACAATTCAATACCCAAACAGAGTATATACATTTGATTGGGTCATAGATAATTAATTGCACATTGAAGTCCTTGGCCCTTACCAGATAATTTATCATCTAGTTTCCAATGATGCTACAAGTGGAAAGAATATGCATTTTCACTAGAGCAATCTTCCATTTGTATTATGGGGGAAAGGGATGGTTTAATAAAGGAACAAGTAAACTCCCTGTTAGTGATTTACTATCTTTGGAATGGTATTGACATTTCAACCAAGATCAGAGTTTCTCAAGCAAAATAAAAGGAGCGGATAACTTACAATCGTTGGCCCAGCCGAGTATTCCAATTCCTTGGAGAGAGTTTTGTGCATGGTTGAAGCTGAAGCCAGAGTGCATTGCTCTGTGTCGTCGATGACTTGAGCGTACAAATGCTTGTTTGAGCGGAAAACACTCAACCTCGGCCTCTCCGTGGTGCCACTTACCTGGAAAGGAGTATGTAAGACTGACAACTGCGATAAAACTCGTGAAACTAGCAGGAAGTAGCAGTAAAACCCATAGTTACATCCAATTCGTGAACTCTAGGTATAGCTGATAGATTCTTAGGCTACCACTCCAATAGAAGCATTTCGTCGAACAGGACGGAGGCACGGCATTGGCCCCCACCCACCACTCACGCAATCGACTGGAGAGCGAAAATGTTCTTATTACAATTCGTGCACACTCGTACGAAGGAAGGAGGAGAAAGATTCTAACTTTGCTCTCGCGCAGATTTCTACTCCTACCTTCTTGCGGAGGCGGACATGGCGGGCGATACCGTAAAAAAGCATAGATCTAAAGCTACAGCAAAAACTTTATACTAAAGCATACTATATTATATTTTCACTGTGTAGATCTACTCATGTGAAGTCCAACAAAATTGAAATTTCTATTTTATGATTTTTCTGTGATTTACTATGATTTTTCAAAGATTCAGCGGAAATAAATAAAAAATAAATAAAAAACCACAGTCACTGTAGCAACCCACCGTCCAAAACCGCTCGGGGGTTATTTTCCCTGTTTTGAAAAGTTCAGATGGTAGAAAATCCGGTTTTATAGTTTTTGAGGTGAAGTAGTCAACCCTAAATAGTTGGTGGGTTATGTAAACTTTTTTCTTTTCTTTAAAGAGGGCAATGTATCGTAAAACAAAGGGAATGCAAACTTTTGAAGTTTGGTAGAATTAGAGTACTGTATCTTTATTCTAAGGTACAAGTACAAACAGTCGAACATGTTTTTTTTATCGAATACGCAGGAGAGCTGTGTATCATTGCATTAAGAAGAATAGTTGTAAAATACAACATGCACAAACATAGTTACATGGTACATAGAGAATGGTGCGCCAAGAATGCGAATACTGCAGAATTCCTGCATATGCTTGTTCAGCAACTTCAGCTCACACTACTCTAACAGATACACTACCATTAATATTTGGAACTAAGAGTGCAATCTCTTCATCAATGAAGCTAGGGTGCACCTTCTGCATCCACTATCCAAACTCAAAACTATAAGTAGTACGTATTCAAGCACAGGATGGATAACCCACAGGGTTACGCATTCAAGCAACCACCGCAGTTTCAACAGCAGTGGAAGAAAGAACATCAGACTCAGACCAATCCTGACCATCCCATATCTCAGGTAAAGCTTCCTTCATGTTATGAATGCTCTCCAAAGCATGGTCAGCCCCCGGAACAAGTGTCGGTCTGCCAACCTGCAAAATTCAGAAAATTTTCTGTTCAGGTTTTCCCTTTGTACATGAATGACGGCTGATGTGGAATTTTAGACCATGAACGGTGTCTTACAATCACAGTATGGAAGCCTGCGGCCTTTCCTGAAGCTATGTTCCGAGTGCTGTCGTCAAAAAATATCTGAAAAATAGATTATTAGCATGTAAAATTTCCAGTGCGGCATTCCTTCTTGTTAGAACGTGTTCTTTTTCATATTTCACAGACGAGAATCCTTACTGTTTTCTTGGGATCAACATTTGCAATCCGAATTACAGCTTCCATGGCTTCAATGGAGGGCTTGCAAAGGATAGGCGATATGGGTCTGAACCCATCTGATTCATTCAGATCAACCAAGTTGGGAGATGTTTCATCTGGGAACAGCATGCTGTTCTGGAACTCGCTCAGAACATTGCAAGGATTCAGTGTCTCAAAGCAAATTACAAAATCGAAGCAACCCTGTAAACCCAGTCTGCATGAGAGATTCCTCCGCATGAGCTTTGTCAGAATTTGTGAATACCTGCAGTAACCAAATGTAGGTTGATAAAAATGCTCACATGACTATTTTCCCAAATATATCATTTCAGAATACAGCAAGAAAACAGAAATAACTGGTTGCTTTTCGTACTATTTTTCTCTGTGGAATTGAAAGTAGGAGGGTCCTCAAAACAGGGTCAGGCCTTAGATTGTGATATGGCAAGGTACCATGAACAGTTGCATGAAACTCATCATTATCAAATTCATAGCCTAATGCCTGCAGAGAATAACGATCGCACGATTAGAAAAGAGAAGAAAATATAGGACAATTCATTGTAAAGATTCAACAAACGACTAATGGAACATGAGTTGTACCTTAAGGCCAGCCATTGTGGTGCCATATTCCTTGTACAGGTCCAGGCACATATCTGCAATATGGCTTTCTTCAATATGCAGATGGTGCCGCATATAATCTGGTGGTCAAATTTCAAAGTTGCAATCTCCTCAACATTTGCAGACAATAAACGCCTCATAAAACACGAAGCTGTGGAAAATGACCAGTATCATTACCCACCTTGTATGTTTTTGCGACAAGCTAGATTGATGCCAGCGCTGAAGGGATACAAAGTGTCATCAAGATCTGAAAATGAAATAGAAAACGTCATTATTTTATTGTACCACAAGATGAAGAAATAAATGCAGCAACAATTTCTCAGGATTTTAAAAGCAGGAACACACCAAACAGAAAGCACTCAGATTTGGTCTTTCAAGAATAGACTCCATCTTCAACAGTCAAAAGCTGCAAAAGTTTTCCCAAATTAACTGAGACCAGTTTTCAGAATAGCTATTATTTGAGAACTGAAATATTTTATATAAAGGATGCAAGTTTTGGATGTAACTCCATCAAATAACTCCTGAGTTAATATTTTCTGGATGAAACTCCTAAGGGTTTATTTGACCAAACCGTGAAGAAATGGCCAAGCTCGCCAACCTCACAGCCCTCCTGCTCCTTGTTGTCATGGCGTGGCCACCATCTCGTCCGTGCACAGCGCCCGCACTCTTGAGAGAGTGGATCAAGTGACCATCCTGGAGCCTTGACGGTGGCGTAAGCCCCCTCGTCCACATTGTTGGAAGTTGAGGCCCTGCTCCCTTCGATGGCCTGTTTGAAGAAGCAGCAGACGGGTACCGTGCAACTGATTGCACTCGCAAGACACCGGCGTTCGGGCCCTAAGCAACACGGCTTATCATAGTTGGGTTGTCACATGTCGTGAGCACGGGCAGCTAGCATTACTAAGTTTGTGCCAACCATGTAAACGATCTTCAAGGAATGATAAGCATGAATAATGGGATGTGATACTACTAAATTTACTTGTCATGGATAGAAGACTGAGAATTACAATAGTATGACTTGTTTACAGCAAGGTCAACCAAAATGTAATATGTACTGATTCCATTTTGTCACAAGGGAAGGGAGGAACAGGGACATTGCACGCATCAATTAGAACGAACTCTTTTCACTGTTTTCCTTTTACTAATTTCTGGTTGTGATATTCAAGACCCGTATGGTGCTTATAGGGAAATTTTGATGCTCCTGGTGAGCAGTTTATATGGCAAAGGAAAAGGGTTATCCATGAATGTGGATTTTAGATCCTTCTGTTGACTTTTGTTTTGTCAAGCATTTCTCAGATGATCCAGTATGTGCGATGAGAGGCTTAAGGACAAGACCCATAGTCACATAACAGAAGTGGAGATGTATCCCCACACCCTACTGGCTGTCTGAAGAATGAAGCAGTTGGTGTTGTCTGCAGGAGTGAAGATGATCACTTTCTAGATGCAAGTGCTGTTTTCCATGGTCTGACATGCTTCCTAGATGCAATTTGAAGCTACTTCTATTTTTTTCCCTTGGACAAGAGGAGACTTGTCTCATTGCATATACACAGATAGAAAGTCTGTTTAAATGCTGATTCGACGGCTTCAGTTAGTTTTAGGAATGCCTTAGTTTTATACTTTTACTTTGAAGTTACTTCTGAAAACTTACACTCGGAGTTGATGATGGTACTGCTCAGTTCACTATCACAAAAGAATGTCCAACTCTAGCAGCAGGAACAAGGTACAGGGCATTTCAAAGGAGAACTGTAGAAGGATAAAGTAACAGACGAAAACAGAACAGCGGACAAGAAGGTTACCTTCAAAATGCAAGGACTTGAAGTTGAAGGCTTCTGAATCTCTGATGAATGGTGTTGGAGCCGGTGCTTCTGGTGCTGTACTTATAGCAGCCCAAAGCTCTCCACATACAGAACAGTTATGCAGCTGCCTTAGTAGATTGATTGATGGCATATTGGCATGATATTCAGCATTTGAACGATCCAGAAGCCAATTTGCCTGTAGCTTTCCATCAACGCAAGGATGCCTCTTTCCTTCCACAGAAGAAAGCAGGGGTGGTGTTCAACCTTGAAGGCCCGCATATCCTCACAAGTCAGAACTGCATGACAGGTACCTACAAAAGTGGCATGCGAATATATTGTAATTATTGAAAGCACCAAAGAATATTACAAGCATCTTCTTGAAAAATCCTAGACTTCGGCAAAGTTGTTGAGAAATAGGTCCACTTAGTAGTACTTTGTGCCATTCCTACTCTGTTATTTATCCAGCAGCCTCTGTTGAATTCATAGAGAATGGGAGAGAACACGAATAATAAAAGGTATGGCAAATCAGGCGTATCTATGGCTCCAAGTTAGCACATACATCATTTGCCATAGTTTGTGTGGTCCAATGGCTACTCAATTGGAATAACCACCTTCAGAGGAATGTTCCAGTGTTCTGGTACAAAGGGTACTTACCAACTCATTGAATATTATGAGCATTTCATACTAGTTTACAACCTCTACACGACATGATAAAACAGCCCACAAATTGAAGAAAAAAAATACTTTATAAAATATGGTAATTACACCAGCCATACAATGCTATCACATTAAAGTCAAGGACACTTCTGCCAGTTTATCCTCTCAGCATGGGCTTAAAAACACCTTTCTGAGAACTCAGGATATTGCCAAAAGGTATCAAATCCTTGAAGGCCAGCAAGGAAAGGTCAACCGGTGTAGCGGTAACCAGCATTAGCTGTCGACGATGAACTGCAGTAGTTAATTAACTACGTTACAACAGAAATGGAAAGATTACAATAGTAGCATGAGATTAACATATTATAAGTGAGCATCCTTTCATGTAGCTGCAGCTACAGCTTCGATCTATCTTCTCATAAACCAGAGCAGCTACAGATTTAGACAAAAGAGAGAGCATAAGGCATTCCATGAAATCCTGATTGTCTGCCCAGCATAAATGGCTTTGAGCTACCATATCTGAAACCAGAGCTTGAACTCTTGCATACTTGTGGAGATGACCTGACCTTCAGACTTTGTCCTGGAGAACCTAGAATGCATTTGGGTTCCTGTTATCAGTTGAATACGAATGAATTAGAAATGGAACAGTGTGGCATCCTTTCTTAGTTTTAGAACTTTAAACAAATACCTGGCTAAAAAAAAATCAAAGAGTAAGAGAAAAGACACAATCGATAATGCAAATAGGTCAACTAGTCCACACCACACAAAGTGCTTACCCAGTAGCATGGAATATGAGACGGAACATGGACGAGAGGAGAGAAATGTGTGTTTGACTAGAGATACTCAATAGAAATGTTAACTTTCTCTAAATTCAAATTTTAGTTCAGTAAAAACATTGAAGATACTCAATCGAAATGTTAACTTTGTCTGTTTCAAAGGCAAATACATACTTCTCAAGTGACAATAGCAGCTATATTATGAACTTTAGTAAACCAAAATTACACAAATAATCTGCACAGCATTTCTTTGCACAATAGCAATGCAAATCCGTGACTAAGGAAAATGAAACACAAGCAAAGGATGAAGTCTAAAATCATGCAAAACAACTGTACAGAAAAAAAAAGGTTTCCAACAATAGATTTTTAGATCGGCACCTTCTCAGTATGAGATCCTGGTAAGCTAGCAACTGGTGTCAAATGCTTCAATCTGGCACAAACAAAAAAGATAGCATTTTAGATATGTATGGATGATTCTCCAATCTCCATGAGATAACATGGAGACTGCAAACTCACCTGCCTGGGGAATACCTATCCCTTGCAGCCTTTATCTTTTCTACTGCCTAATGAAAGAAGGCACAGATTATTCCATGAAATCAACCATTTGGTGTTAGGATAGTTAGTGAAATACAATTAATAACACATGCCTTTGTTACCCTATCAGAACTGAAACTGTTTTCTGTTGACAAGAAATCCATAAGGCCCTGAACACGGAAAGCAAAGCATGCTTAGCTTGTGAAACAATAGGAGTCATGTCATGTACTATGGTCTATCAATGAAAACCTCTGAGTCTGGTGAGGTCCACGTGAAATCTGGAATTCTTGCACAAACATTAGGTTCCTTAAACAAGGTCCGAACTTCCTGGTAAGGCCAGTCTTCTGGAACACTGAATCTACAGATCCAAAAAGAACATGCACAGTAAGACCAGCATGTCAAGATCACTCAGAGAATAACATGGTAATCAAGAAAACCATGCCAGTAGCACCAACTCCTGAGTACAACCTACTTCCTACATGCAGATTTTATATTTCTTAGGTATAAACAGTGTAACAAAGAAGCTACAGAAATATAAACTGGTTAATGACTGAGCTTTTAAATAATTAATTAATCTTTGATGTATTTTTTAAAGTTGTACTCCAGGCAGTCATCAAGGACTGGTCAGACTGAAAGGCAAACAGTTCTCAGACAGATAAAATCTGCAACTACTTGACAGCATAGCAGCTTTTGCTGTTACAAACTGCAGATTTTAGTAGATACATTTTGTGGCATGACCACATGTTGACCTAATGCCCCCTAGCAGAAGCACATAGCATAAACAGCACGGTGACATAGCAAAATGGGCAGTAGCAGAGTGCAGGATAGCAACAGAAGCTGTGCAGCAGGACGCAGAGCGGTGGTATTATAATCAGAGGCATTAGGAGACATTAGTGGTGTAAAACGCTTGCTGTGCAGTGTATAACATAGCAGCATAATAAAAAAAATGTTTTCTTCTCAGTATTATATGGGGGGAAAAGTGACTTGCAAAAAAGGCAATTCGAAAAATTTACTATGCCCTGTTAACACTCACAAGGCACACATAATCCAACGCTATTCACGTTAAGCATATGTTAGCATGTCCATATAACATAACATCATTGTCGCCATTGAAAAGGCATTTGGCA